CCCTCTGCCTCCCGGTTCCTTCTGCCTCCCGTTCCTGCGGGGACGGGAGGCAGAGGGCAGCGGGGACAGGAGGCAGAGGGCAGCGGGTGCAGCTTTGGAAGCCAGGGAAGCTGAAAGCCACCTCAACCTCCACGCCAGGTGCCGGCTTCCTTTGCTTCCAAAGCCCGGGCTTTGGAAGTCTGGGAAGCTGGCACCCGGTGCAGGGGTCAGGGCGGCTTTCGGTTTCCCGGGCTTCCAAAGCCACCCCCGCTGCTCTCTGCCTCCTGTCCCAGCTGCAGTGGGGACAGGAGGCAGAGGGCAGTGGGGACGGGAGGCAGAGGGCAGCTGGAGGCAGCTATCACAGCGGCGGAGAGGCCTGGGGCAGCGGCTGTCACAACTTGCTCTGTTTCCTTTCTTTCTTTCTTGGTACAGTGGTGCCTCGCTTAACGAGCACACCGTTTTACGACGAATCCGCAAAGTGATCTTTTTTTTGAGATCGCTAATGCAATCACATTGCGATGTTTTAATGGATAAAATATTGCGTTGCGATGGTTGGTAAGCGTTTCGCTTACCGATCTTTGCATTGTGATGTGTTTTTAAACAGCTGATCGGTGGTTCCAAAATGGCCGCCGCATCCGCAAAATGGCCGCCCGCAGCATTTTTGCACCCTGCCCTCGCTTACCGAGGGCGCGAAAATGGTGGCCGGATCGAGGATTCCCCACATAGCGGTGAGTTTTCGCCCCAATAGGAACGCATTAAAAAGGTAAAGGTTCCCCCTGACAATTTTTGTCCAGTCATGTTCGACTCTAGGGGGCGGTGCTCATCCCCGTTTCCAAGCCATAGAGCCAGCGTTTTGTCCGAAGACAATCTTCCGTGGTCACATGGCCAGTGCGACTTAGACACGGAACGCTGTTACCCTCCCACCGAGGTGGTCCCTATTAATCTACTTGCATTTGCATGCTTTCGAACCACTAGGTTGGCGGGAGCTGGGACAAGTGACGGGCACTCACTCCATCACGTGGATTCGATCTTATGACTGCTTGGTCTTCTGACCCTGCAGCACAGGCTTCTGAGGTTTAGCCCACAGTGCCACCACGTCCCACCCGTTTAATGCGTTCCTATGGGGTTCCCCCCCGCATAGCGATGAATCCGGATAGCGACGTTAATCCTGGAACGGATTAACGATGCGGTGCGGGGCACCACTGTATTTTTTTCTTCAGCTGGAACGGATTAATCGGTTTTCAGTGCGTTCCTGTGGAAAATGGTGCTTCGACTTACAAAACCTTCAAGTTACGGCCACCCTTCCAATATGGATTCATTCCGTAAATTGAGGCACCACTGTAGTGAGCTTTCAATTTTCTTCAAGGCTGTGCATCAAATTCTTGTGAGCATTTCCAAACTTATGTGCTGTTTTTAGTCCGGAGCGATAAGGACAGGTCCTGAAGTCAGCATCCTCTTCAGACGATCAAAGGCTACCTGACATTCTGACATCTACTGGATGTTTTCAGCTTGCTTCTTTTGATTTGTTTGATAATGGGGCAGTCATCTCGCTGAAATTTAGCATGAAGCAACAATAGTAGCCAGCTAACCCTAAGAATGCTCTGATTTTCTTTTTAGATGTCGGAGTAGCCCAATTATTAATGGCTTCTATCTTAGTCTCAAGGGTTTTGATCACACCTCCCCTGACTAAATGGCCTAAATATTCTAATTCCGAACTTCCAAGTTGGCATTTGGTTGCTTTCACTGTTAAGCCAGCCTCATGCAACCTCTGTAGCACGACCTCTAGGTGGACTTTGTGCTCCTCCCAGGTCTGATTAAAATTCCAATATTGTCTATGTAGGCTACAGT